GCCACCCATGACTACCACAATTCTTGAATTTATTACTGCTATTAAATTGGTTCATTAAAGTTCAAGTTGCTTAGGCAAATAAAATAAAGACAGGCTCCGACACAGTTATACCACACACCGGCATAACCATGCCCCACACGACTCCAACAAGAAGACAAACGAGAAAGAACACACGCGCAAGCCTACTAACTGCTCGTCTACCGCTGCGACGGGCCAGGACGGAAGGTGAGCAGCAGCGCATCCTCCGTGCTACCAACGCCGGAGGCTTCCCCCTCCTGAGGAACCACGGGCGCGGGCTCGGCACGAGGGGTCTCCACGAAGCAGGTCCATGCCAAGGATTGGCGAACAAGCTCGGGCCTGGAGGTACTCTTGCAGGCGGTGATCTTCTGGCTGCGGCAGACGCGGCGACGCTTGGGGCGACAGACCTCTCCCTGGGCGATCTTGAGCTGATGCAGCTGCGCCTCCACTGCGTCTAGGTCCTTCTTCAGCTGCAGATTCTCCTGACGCAGCTCCAGGATCTTCATGTTGTTCTCGACCATCCCACGGCGCACCATCTGATGGAAGTCGATACGAGCCGCGTCGTACGCCTCCACCATGCGCGCCAGGTGCATGATGGTAGCGGTAGGGCGAGTGCTGCAACTCGTCCGGGTAGAGCTGGTGAAGAGTGCCGATGGCGAGGAGTGCGGCGTTCTGGCAAGCGGCGGAGAAGGAATCTCCACCCGCGGTGACCGCCAACGAAGACCTCTCGGGTGAGCCAGTGAGGATCACTGCAGTAACCTCCCGAGCAGCGTGGGGCTCTGCATCGTCACCCTCCTGCTCCGGGAGCTGCTTGCCCTGGTAGTCCACTCCATGCGGATACCCCAGGACAATGCACATGCCCCGCAGCTCCAAAACGAAGCCAGTCAGGTCCAGACCACGACGGTTGATGCTGCCGGCCATCTACAAACAAAAACAAAAAGAAATGCAACATTTTAAAGGTCAGATTTTGGCGATAAATGAAGCAGCAGGACAGAGAGAGACTAGAGGATTTTCACAAATAACAAAGGATTTTTTTTTATTTCGAAAATATTGCTAAGGCTTGGGATCTAAGGCTTGTCCTAGGGTCAAGGGGGCTCTGATACCAACTTGTCACGACCGGAATTAACCCAACGGGCGTTCCTTACGTGCGTGTATTATTCCTTGTCCCAGGAGGCAAGGTACACCAAGAGTTGATACATTTCAGAGTTTATCAAGCGGAAGCGTAAATAGTTAATTTATTACATGGGCAGCGAAGGCCCAGCACACACAAAGACAAACGGGAAACAGCGGAAGACTAGGGCGACGACCACAGGCGCTTGACGGCAGGCACGAGCTAGACACCAAAGCCTTCATCTTCCAGAGGCTCCTCTTCTGGGTTTGGGAAAAAATTGAGCAAGACTGAGTACAACCACCGTACTCAACAAGACACACCCACAAGTGCAGAATAAAATGCAAGGGAGTACAAGGGAGTTACAATATAAAGGGTTAGGGTTTGCAGTAAACAGCATTAAAAGACACTTAGTTGCTCAAAGCTATTTTGCAAATACGGTCCTAGAGCTATACAATATTATTAATCAAGGCCGTGAACCCACACGAACCTGCCTTAACCCAAGGCCTACGATGATTTAGACCGAACTGGCAACCCGACCCTGGGTCCCAGCTCGTCCCAAGCCAACCCAGGCCAACCATTCCACATTTTAGTTGTTAAGCAGGTTTTAAGAATTAAAACACTAACTTGGGTACATTGCTCGGCTTGCCCATAACCAAGGGCGCGGCTATTCGAATAGGTTATACTCTGATCAGAGGTGTACATCTTTACCCACAAGACACATCTTCCTCACGTGTAACCACGTGCCACATACCACCACGGTATACAGACGGAAGACGTGACATAGTTTCCAACCCATCCTAGCCATAGACAAGAGTACCGACCCAATCCCACCTACGGCCGGAACCCCCGGGACAGGTAGGCAGGACTGAGCCCCTAGCAGCAGGACACCGGCCCTGTGCCATGACATCTCGACTACCGGGCCGCAGCTCGTGTAGCCTTCATTTGTCCTGGAGATGTCCATCGACCCCCGACTTCGTCCATCTCCATCCGTGTACTTTTGTTTATAACCAGACTGAGCCACAAACTAAGCCTTACCCACTAGACATGTGGAAGTACGGTAGTGCTTTGCAACAGAGGCCCGAAGACCGGTCCTTATATGGCCGAGGTGCTACTATCAAAACCATGCACCCCGAGCCCAGCCTAAAACCATTTTGGGGATTTTGAATAGAGGGGGAGGTGTGAATCCAATTCCACAATAATCCAACAATTCCATAGTGTCCAGGTGATGAGAATATCCCAAAGTCTAGAGTTGTAAAATCACCTAATGTTACCTAATTAAACAGCGAAGCATCTACCTAAAATCATACTAGTGGTACCATGAGTAGAGTGTCCACTAGTTGGGGTTTTGTTTAATCTAGGGTGAACAAGGTAATAATAATAGTAACAATAATAATAATTATTATTTGTGCTCTGAAAATTCCACTAAAATTTATTTACGCATTTTAGGCTTTTAGGAAATATACAAAAATCCTCCAAGCCTTATTTGACTTTTAACTTTGCACATTTTAATTGTTGGAGGCTTTCACATGGATTTTAATTATTCTAGGCATCATTTAAAGGATATATTTTAGAGTCGTTTTGGGACGCGACACTTTCCTTGAAGCCTGCATTAAACACTTATTTCCCATGGCTTGCTGAGTACTCCCACACTCACCCTTGCTCTATATAAATAACCCCCCCAGTTGCTGAAGAAGATGAAGCGGAACCTGCTGATGAGGAGTTCTTCCAGGAGCAAGCCGGCTACGATGAGTTATAGGGTTTCGGCCTAGTTCCCACGTCGCGCCTGTGTTGATTGGTCCAAGTCCTGACTTCCGTTTCCCTTTTGTAATGCAGTTGTGAGCTCGGGGTCTGTCCGCAGCCCAACATGACTGTACCTCTACTCTATAATAAAGAGACTTCTGTTGCTGTGATATTCTGTCTTCCTGTGATACCAGCACTATTTCCTGGGACTGGTATTGATTAACAGGTTAATTTGGAGCGTCACGGGCTAGTTCCGGTCGGTACTAGTTCGGGGCGTGACATAACTGGACTTTGAAATTTCCAAATACTTTGGTTAAACCCTTGGCTAGATCTATCTCTGACCATACCACCTGTGTTGTGCAATATTGGTACTGATATTCCGAAAGCAAATATTTTCAGATTTGAAAATTTTTGGGTTAACCATGAGGGTTTCTTTGAGCTTGTAGATTGAATCTGGACCAATCATGGAAATGACCCTAATGCAGCTAGAAATATTTCTGCTAAATTGAAAGCTTTAATTTGAGAAAGGGTTTGAGAATTTGGAGTAAAAACCTTTCTAAGTTGCAGAAACTAATTCAAAACTGTAATGCTATGATTCAATTCCTGGACTCTATTGAGAAGTATAGAGATCTCACTTTGTTGGAATGGAGATTTAGAGTCTTAATTAGGACTAAGCTTTTAGCTTATTTGAAATACAAGCAGTCTTATTGACAGAAAAGATGTACAATAGATGGGCTAAATTTGGAGGTGAAAATACAAAGTTTTTTCATGCCATGGCTACTGAATCTTTTTAGGAGAAACTTTATTTCTTCTTTACTAGATTCCCAGACTTCATATGAGTTGAGATAGAAACATTCATTAATGGTGTACCTAAATCACAAGGATGAAATGCATGGACATCAAGCTATATGTATCACTTTTTCTCTCCGAGCACATATTGATATATTCATATATAATATTTTCATGTGATTGACATATATGTATGTGAGGCTAATGTTTTGTTTGAGTCTTATCGCTTGTTTAGTCTATTTACGTTGAGGATGTGGAGATGATGAAGGTATGCATTTATTTTAATATCTATAAAAATTGCCACCACCCGCCCGTGCCATGCCACCGCCGCCGCCGCAGACCTCCCCTCCGGCCACACCGCCACTGGATCTGGGAGGGAGAGGGAGAGGGAGAGGGAGGGGAGGAGAGAGACGCCGCAGCCGCCGCCCTTCCCATCCATCGGATCTAGGAGGGGAGGGACGGGCCGCGCATGGCGCCTCCTCTGCCGCCAGCGCAGCCTTCTCCGTGCCGCGCCGCCGCCGACGCCCCTGCCCTTCGCCGAACCTGGGAGGGAAGGGAAGTAATGGGAGGGAGAGGGAGGGGCTGTGCGCGGCGCCTCCACCAACTCCTCCGCGCTACGCCACCGACGATGCCAACGCCGCTCCCCTCCGCCGGATCTAGGAGGGGAGGGCAAGAAGGGGAGGGAGCCAGAGAGAAAGGGAGGGGCCGCGCGCACGGCGCCTCCTCCGCTGATGGTGTGCATGCGCCACCTCATTCGCCACCGTCGCCGTGCCGCCACCTACGCCTCTCCCCTCCGCCGGATCTAGGAGTGGAGGGAAGGAAGGAGAGGGAGCCGGAGGGAGAGGAAGGGGCCGCGCGAGCGGCACCTCCTCCGCCGACGGCGCGCGTGCGCCGCCTCCTCCACCTCCGGCGCCGCCTCCGTTCGGTGGTGGACGGCGCCGAAGCCATTTCTAGTAGAGGGAGAGCCGGAGGAGAAGAAAAAAAAGGGAGGGAGAGAAGTGGAGGAAAAAGTGAGGGAGAGGGGAGGCACGGAACTGGAAATCAAATTTAAAAGTGGTGTCACATTTTGCAGACGGACCGTGAAAATCATTTTTTTCAGATGGGTCCGCCTGCAAAAATGAAGGTAGTTTTCTACTCAGATCTCTTAAGTCGTCTGGCTGGAAAAATTAAATTTCGCAGGTGGATGACGGTCTCATCCCCGGTTACCTTTTTGTAGGCGGCTGTTTAGCTCCGAGGGGCCTACTTGCCTTGAAAAAAAAACCCACGTCTAGAAAAAATGGTTTTTCTAGTAGTGATCACATGCGGGCAGAACCATCTCCAGAGAAGCGATTTTGTAGTATTGTTTGTCAGCTTAACCATTATTGCATTTTGGTTTTTCGGTCCGTTACAACACATCGACACACTTTGCTAGTAATTACAATATTGAAAAAAATATTTTCAAATATTGATAACAATGTTACAAATGCAGCATGCATGCGATATCCATGCGCATCACGCACTTATTACATATATATCATGGGAATTATCCAAAATATAAATAAAAAAAATTTAGTGGAAGGTATATATAGCTAAGATTGAAGGGATGATCGATCGATCAATCATGGCTTTATGGCATTGAGGAGGCGGATGGCTGTGGTCGTGAGCAGGTCTATGACCCAAACGGTGGGAACCTTCTTGTCACCGTACTTGAACAGATCACCTAACTTGCACTTGCTCGCGGTCTCATCGTATTGGGTCTCCAAATTCTTGGTCCACTTGTGCACAGTTTCCAGGTCCTCCTTACTGCGTTTACCTTCTCCGGCGGCAGTGAGGCGCTCGAGCGCGTATAGCGTCGAGTTGGTGGTGTCCGAAAAGGTTTCGCCAATGGCAAAGAAAGACCCGCAGTTATTGATGTTTTCGTCCCTGATGCCCATGTCTCTTATCGCGTACGCCTCACTAGTGAGGGCTTGGATCTTGGTGACTAAGATGATGGTGGCCACCTGGGTGTAGGATAATACAAGTGAGCAATCTCCGTATCCGCATAAAAACTTGATTACTGCTAGTTTCATTTCTCACATGGTAATTAATGTAATCCTTGAAAGAAAAAAGAATATGAACGAGAAGTGGAATAAGCGGGCAAAAGAATATCCCGCTTACCATATAGAGACACACACACCTATATACCTACCTGAGTGGCCTTCACTTGGTTGCCCTTGAATGACTCGCCATACGGGATGAGTACATCGTAGCAGCGGGCACCGATCATCTGTTCCGTGAAGGTGCTAGTTCCAAAATCGCAGACTTGTTGGGTGAACCGGTACGCCTCCGTTGAGGGTTCCTTCCCAGGCGGCAACGGCGGTGGCAGCTCAAGGTTGAGTTTATGAAGTTCCCCCTCTGGCGCTGCAGTTGCACCTTGTGGGGATAAGCAGACGACGTTGATGGCTATCAACACCACCAGGAAGACAGCGGCCATGCTCGACCTGCTCATTGTATTTATATGCGCTCTCTCTGATCTCTCTCCCTCTCAGTTTGATTAGAAGCTACAGGATGGATTAGTGCATCTATATGATCAATCGATGAGGTACAAATTAATTTATACTAGCTAGCTAGGCTAGCTCGATCGATTGGTCAGTACTAATTGTCAACCTTTCTAATTTCTTCAATGGCTGTGATAGCATCACGGCATGCTTGCATTCATTTTGATACAACTAGCTGGTGATCCGTGATCCTCTATGCGTTTCTAATGGCATACATCAGCTATTCTAAAAATAGCCATGCAGGGGCAGGCAACGCGGCCAGCACACATGTGGCAAGGCCGCTAGCGCAACCAACACCGGCACGTACCCTTTAGACCTGGTACAGTTGGGCTGGAAAAGGCCGGAGTTGGGCTGCAGCTAGCACCTGTTGATCAACCCACTATGAAAAGAGTCCACGCAAATTGAACAATGCATGTTCTGATAAGCTCAGTCTGAATTATAACCCCACCTATCCCCGTGTTTCCGTCGCATTCCGTCTCAGAAAATATTTATCCCAGTGTTTCGCACTAGTAAAAAAGGGGGAAGTCATTGCCGGTTCATCACTGCCTACCCGTAGTGTCGATCATGCCCTGAAAAACTCACTTGATAAATGGAATAATAGAAATTATTAGAAGCCATTGAAGAAAATTCAAAAAATAAATACGTCCAAGAAAAATCGAAATTTTCTTCCCCGAAATTTACGTCAATTTTGGGAGCACAATAAATCCCTATCTCTACTACTTAAAAATACACTACATACAGTGTAATTTTACAAAATTACATAGTTAAATTATGCATTGCGTTTCAAAAAAAAAAGAGGAAATTATAGTGTAGTTATAGTTTAATTATGCAATGTCTAAACTTAGTACCGTGCTTCATGTAATAGGTTTTCTATGCTTTATTGATGCTAATTTAGTGTTAATCATACTGATTGTTCGCAAAATTATTGTTTGTTTGCAAAGACACTCACAGCTGTTCTATCCTGTGATGCTGTGTTGTTTTTCAGAAGAAGGATGACGCAAATGAACTTTTAATAGCTCTTAAAGCTGAGAAAGAGGAACTAGAAGCAGCACTTAACAGGGAGCAAGTGCAAACTATGCATCTTAAAGAAGAGATTGCTGAAGCAGAGGCTAGAAATGCAGAGCTGACGAAGGTGAGCCTCCTGCCCTCCTTGTACATATTTTAGTTGTTCTACTTCTGCTCCTAGTGGCTCTTTTCCTGCATAATCTTTCAATTATGCAATGAAACTATTTTTACAGATTCTTCTGCATTAAATTATTATTGTTACATTTTCATTTGTTTTGTAATCTGCTATGTAACCTATAGTCTGAGTAGTACACAAATCCTATGGCACTATTTAACACATGCACTAGGATTGAGCTTACCCTTTACTGAAAGTGTGTGATGTTCATTGCTAGCGGTATGTATTATCACTGTTTCTAACATGTCTTGGTCCTGGCATATAGGGAAAATATGTAGTGCAAACCACATATGTAGTGGAAATCTGGAAACTACCGTTGGATAAAAAAAATGAACGCATGAGATTTGTCTATGTCACCAAGAGTCATGGTTGAATCTAGGAGTAAAACTTTTATTCTAGGCAACTTGGACAAATCTCATGTGTCCAACAATAGTTTTCCAGAAATGCTATTTGACGGAATCCCGTCCCAACCGTGATGGACGGGATAGGACAACAACCAACAAATCCACCGATTCTATCTCCTTCTACCTCATCCATTCTACCACATCTCTCTTAAAGCATGCGTACTGCTGCACGAGCTCCGGCACAGCATGGGGTGTGGATGGCGGAGACGCGTCGCCAACGACGAGCTCCGGTGTGACCACTGGCGACGAGCTCCCGGCGTGACATGGCTGTGGATGATGGAGGACGCAGCCTTCGGCGACGAGCTCCGGTGTGATGTGGCGCGTGGACATCGGAGGACGTGGCCCCAAGCGATGAGCCTGGCATGGGGCGTGAGGGCGGCGGAATCGACCGCCAGCAACAAGCCTGGTGTGGGGCGTGGCAGTGAAGGACGAGGCTACCGGCGACGAGCTCCGACGTGGGGCGTGGACGACGCAGAACGCGGCCGCCGGCGACGACCTCCGACATGAGGCAAGGGGCGTGGAGGGTGTGGCCACCAACGACGACGCTTCGGTTCTCAGCTCCTTATACCTGGTAGGAATCACCTGATATCTGGTAGGTATCATGTAATACCTCACTTGTATCACCCGTTACGTGGTAGAAATCATCTGATACCTGATAGGTATCACATGATACCTCACTAGTATCATCTGAAACGTGGTAGGAATAGTCAAATACTTGATAGGTATCACTTGATACCGGTTAGATTTCAGGACATGATACCTTAGAGGTATCAGGACCTAATACCTAACAAGTATTATCCCGTTCGAAAACGGGATTCCGTTGTATAACAACCCTCTAGTTTTCAGATTTCCACTATGTATATGGTTTACACTATACATTTTCCCTAGCACAAAGTGGAAGGTTTTCAACTTTTCACTTCAATCTCATTCAAAAGTATGGTTTACCAAATTTCAGGAGCTATGTAGTCAATATCATCATATCATTTGATGGAGGTGTTTCAACGGTTCAAATGGAGCCGCATCTTTCTGATGAATGCGATTGATAAAAGGGATAGAAAGCATATGAATTAAAGAATTCAGTTAGACATCACATACGGAAATCTATATCCGTACGCATGAAGGCAAAGCAAAAAAAAAATCAACTCTCTTTGAGTGTGTGTTAGAAGGCGTATCTGTGAATGTGTAAGTATGGTGTATGTATATAGTGGTGGTAGCGTATTGTGTTAACGACCAAATTTGGTAAGATATGAACCAGGTTCGACATTGGAATCAAAGCGGATTCGGCAAAGAGATGGATTCGAAGAACAGAGTATGTATCAGCTGCGAGGGCATCGGCTGGAGTATGCATTGGCTGAGATGGGATCGGACAGAAGACAGGTGATACAACCGATAGAGATGATGCAGCCGATTCTTATGGTGATGGCTTCAAGGCTGTTTGTAGAATCAATCAACGTGCTTCACAAGGATTGCCACGATGGAGATAAAGCTCTCAAAAAGGCAATTGTATCTATTAATTAGGATATTTTCTATAATTTCCTTAGAGATATGTTTGGGAAAAAGTATGCCGCAAAGACTTATGGTATCTTAGAATTTGTTAGAGATAAGAGTCGTGTCCGAGAAGGACATATTTTGTATCTCGGGTATAAATATGACCCGAACCCAATGTAATCAATAACACACATTCAATAACACTTTCGTCGCATCGCCACCCTTTTACTTTCGTTCTATTTCGATGAGTTCTTGCTTTCAGGTTGAGCTGCATCGATTCGATCTTCAACTAGAGGTAAACTTGTCATGACGGCTTGCGTTCTCGGGACTAGTGCTTCCATCTTCATGATACTCTAATCTTGTTTATGTAATTCGTCGAGTTATCATATATACGTTATAATCTCTGTAAGTTATGCTATATAACTTGCCATCGATTGATTCTTACTGTTAGAAAGTAGCCGATAGAGTTATATCTCGTTATTAACCTAGATTATATCGTATATCCACCATCTCTTATAGGTTTTCATCAACTTGTTTAGATCTCATGGTTGTCTTTACGCTTAATGCTGCATCGGTTGAGTTCGATCAATTAAGTTTTATCTATAACTGTGATATCTAGCCTGTTTTATGATTATCGAGAGAGATAGTATCGGAGTTTCAGCTGATCTTACCTGATTTAGCTATTTTTTATATATCATATGTTTGATTGATATGTTAAATCTGCCCTTTATATTAAGATCTTATTGCATTAAGAAATATTAGACTTCTTGTTTGATATATTCTGCTTGTTTTGATATCTTAGTATAGAGTGGTATCCGAGTATTAGTCGATACATGCCAGATCTATCTGATCGGCTATGCTATAAACATTTATATAATTATTGCTTTAGTGTATACTTCGACTTAAGTGATTTATACTGTCTCGGCGTGGCGACCGATCTATCCCAATCACTTAGTTTAAATATACATCGAAGGAAGGATTATATATCCTTAATATCTACAGCCGATCGAATAGATTTAGTTTTATCTTATTTATTTATAACAGCCGATCGATTTCAATATGACATTGGCTTGAAGATAAATGATATGTCATCGGCAACTAGCCGATCGGCTATCATTTATGGATTTAACTATGGTTTTCTTGTCTTTCTTTCTTGTTGATTGCAGGATCAAATCAACTGGCACGCTCACGAACCTAAAAGCAAGATTTTGGACGTGCACTGAAGTTAAGCAGATTTTCTAGGCCAGTGTGTGTTTTTCGCATCAACACGTATGTATCCGTGAATGTGTAAGTATGGTATACAAAACCTCTATGTAATTAAAAAAATATAGAGAATTTGTTTGGTTAGAAGCTAACTTTTTTTACCATAACCTAACTTGCTAAAAGTATGATAAATCACACATAGTATAGCCAAAAAATTGTTGGCCGTATAGCAATATTTAGCTACAAAATTATCCTATGACCCTATCTAGGGAAGCTTTAAAATTATGAATAACAGCTTATGAGAATTTAGAGATGTTGGTTTCTCAGCTTCTGGTTTTTATTTTTATAACTATTTTTAGAATCTAAACTACAATCAAGACTGATCGAGAGAAGTTTTGATAAATGAAAGATTCTAACAAAATGTTACCCGCTTCAAGCTGGAGTTACATCTCCCTATCAAATTTCTAAAACTTCTCTTATTCCCTCTTGTCATTATAATTAATGTTCTAAAACTTCCCTTATTCCCTCTTGTCGTTATATTAAATTGTGCTATTCTCATTTGTGAGCAAAGAGCAGCAACTGTTCTTTGTTCCTTATTTCTGTTAATTTATTATGCAATCTTTTTTTTGCACCATACACCTCAAATTACTTTATACTTCGTATATGCTTTTAACTAACACTATGCAGATGTAAGCCAACGCGGCGAAAAGCCACGCTTGTACTTCTAGTGATATTATCAGACTAACCAATGACTGCTATGGAGATTTTTG